GGCAGGACCAGTGACTCAGCTCCATTACACTTTCATTTGGATGGACAGGCAGGACAGGCTGCCATGAGTCTCCCCTCTGAGAGCTCTGTTTTCTAACAGGGACCTGCTCTAGGCACTGACATCCTCAGAGATTGTGGACCTGGGCCCTCATGGAAAGGCGATATCTACTTTGGGAGGCTGAGGGTAGTGGATTGCTCGAGCTCAGGAGTTTGAGACCAGCCTGGCCAACTTGGCGAAACCCCATCTCTACTAAAAATACAAAAATCAGTCGGGCATGGTGGTGCGTGCCTATAGTCCCAGCTACCTGGAAGGCTGAGGCAGGAGATCACTTGAACCCAGGAGGGGGAGGTTGCAGTGAGCCAAGATCGCACCACTGTACTCCAGCCTGGGTGACAGAGGGAGACTCCATCTCAAAAAAAAAAAAAAAAAAAAACAAAAAGGTGAGATCAAGGTTAGCCCTTGGGGAAGCCTTGCGTTGATGAAACAAAATCTTATCCTTTAATGCTATGCCTCTGTTTCTCTTTTTGACTCTGCACTGATATTGAGAGACAAGAGTGAGTGGTTGGGATCCAGTTCTCACTGTCCTCTCCCTCTAGGCAAGCTGCAGACATTCATTATTCATAGGTCATCTGATGTTCTATTTTAAATAAACAGCTCTGTGATCCATCCTATTATTCACTTTAAAGTAGATTAAAATATGTTCTTTTTCTTTGAAATTTTCAAGAAGGGTTTTCTGCATATCATACTCAGTTGACTTTTTCAGTCCCTACCCTCCTTTCTCATGAAGGGCACAGATTCCCAGAACTGCAGAAGAATGTGTACTCCATCCCAGGGTTCTCTGCCCCTGATGACAGAGCATGAGCCCCAGCACCTGACTTGAGGCTTTCACAGGCCCAGAGCATTTTTCTCCCTATCAGCCCTAACACAAAACAGCCCTAACACAGCCTTGACCCAGAAACACTAAGATGGGACTGTGGCCCATGACTAACAGTTGAGGAACTCTGTTCTACAGGTACCCTGAACTCTCTTAATAATCTAATCCATGGCCAGTGAATCACTGGGATTAGGGTTTTATCCTGGAGCCTTCCTGGAGCCCTTACCCAGAGAGGGGATCTGTGGGCTTCAGATATAAACCCTAGCTCCCACTCCTACCTCTGCTCTGTTCCCCTTGATGATATTCTAATCTTTCCTGGGAATGTCTATGCCAGGTGGCTCTCTGTGCCAACAAAATTGATCTAGAAAACTGGGAAGGGAAATAGGGAAAGGTTGCACTCTCCTGGAAGTTGGCCCTAGGGTTCCCTTGCCAGATTGATGTGCCTGTGTTTTCTAAGTGTTGGTTATGTATTTTTTTTTCTTTTTTTGAGACGGAGTCTCACTCTGTCACACAGGCTGGAGTGCAGTGGCGTGATCTCAGCTCACTGCAACCTCCGCCTCCCAGGTTCAAATGATTCTCCTGCCTCAGCCTCCTGAGTAGCGGGGATTATAGGCATGCACCACCACACCCAGCTAATTTTTGTATTTTTGGTAGAGATGGGGTTTTGCCAGTCTGGTCTCGAACTCTCGACCTCCAGTGATCCATCTGCCTCGGCTCCCTAAAGTTCTGGGATTACAGGCATGAGCCACTGCGCCCAGCCTAAGCGTTGGTTATATTTTGATTCCTCTGTAAATAGCAGAGGAACAGCAACGGACGCCTCACAATGCACAAAGGATGGACGGAACTAGTGCCCCAAGGCTGAGATGCGCCCAAGCAGAGCTGATCCGACAGCTGCCTCAGACAACTGAGCACAGAGAATGTGTGCTCTGGACTAGAGGTCTGGGCCCATGTCGTGGAGATAGAGAACAGTGACCGTATCTTTGGGGGGGTGACAGAGGGCCGTTAAAGAGGAAAGTGAACCCATAATCCCTCCCCAACAGCATCCAGCCAAGCAGATCTTGCCACCCTTCCTGGGCCTTCTAAATCCTTCCATCCTCTCTGGACCTTACTATTTTCCAATTCTGCTCTTTCATCAAATCATAAATAAACTGCAGTGCTATTTTCTCTTTATTCCACCTACAACCCAGATGTTAGCTGGGTTATCCTTTACCCCTTCGGTCATCTCAGCTTTGATTCTACCAATTACATAGCCTTTGAAAGTTAGAAGTTCTCCCAGGAATTTTTGCTGATTCCCAGGGATTTTGCACTCTCAGGATTCTCTTTCAACTGCAGCTTCCCATCTTTCATGGACTCAGACATAGGACATGACCCCATCTTCATATTCACTCAGAAGAGTCTACTTGGACATAAAAGCATTAGTAAGCAATGCAGCCTTTACAGAAGATATTGTAAGGGTGATAACGAGGGCCAGGAAAGAGGCCTGGCAAACAACTTTAAAATCCCAACTGCAGAATTAAGGACTAAATTACTTCTTTACCTGGCTGGGCACAGTGGCTCATGCCTGCAATCGTAGCACTTTGGAAGGCCAAGGCAGGAGGATCGCCTGAGCTCAGGAGTGAGACAAGCCTAGGCAACATGATGAAATCCCAACTCCGCAAAAAATACCAACAAAACAAAACAAAACAAAACAAAACAAAAAATCTGAGGTGGAAGGATCACCTGAGCCTAAGGAGGTTGAGGCTGCAGTGAGCCATGATGGCACCACTGCACTCTAGCCTGGGTGACAGAGACAGACCCCATCTCAAAAAAAATAAAATAAAATAAATTACTTCCTTACAACCTTGGCCTGGATTCCAATCTCTTCCCATCCAGATGATGACACTTTGCCAGAACTGGCAGCAAAACTATCAAGAATAAGGGAAAGCTTCTGTTAACATTGCTACTGGAATATCATTTTTTATAGGTTAAGTGAGCAGAAAAAGTAAAAAAATGTTTTACCTTGAGTTCATATTAATATATCCTATACAAATTTAACATTACAGAGTGTTTCATTTATTTTATTTGTATCTCCTTTCTCTCCTAATCAAAATCTTGGATCTTAATAATATTAACATTAAAAAAATTTTTTTTTTAAATAAGAGATGAAGTTTCAATGTTGCCCAGGCTGGTCTCAAACTCCTGGGCCCAAGTGATCCACCTGCCTTGGCCTCCCAAAGTGCTAGGATTAGACGTGAGCTACCACGACCAGCCAATATTAACATTCTTATTTTTTTATCCTAATTATATATGAAATACTTTCAAAATTATAACACAAATATTACATCTAATAATAAAACTACTGAGGGAAGTTTAAAATTATTTGCAATTCTTTTTTTCTTAGAATATATCTCACCCAGAATATATATAAGAGAAACATGTTCCAAAGTCACTTGGAATAATTCTTTTCTCTATGTGATTATGTAACCAATTTGATAGAGTTAAATTTATTATTTTCAATTTCAGGGTTAACTTTATTTTCCTTGATTTTATTTTTTTGAAAAATGTCAAACATTTTACATGGTTCAAAAGTAAATAAGTTATATTCAGAGAAGTCTCACTTCCAACCCTGTCATTTGATGCTTAAAGTGGTTCATAAATACATCAGGGGGATATAGTCTAGATTTTACTTTTTCTCTCAAGATGTGGAGGAATGTGAGGAGCAGAGAAGACCAGCAACTTCTAGAAAGAGACACAGTTTAAATCCCATTTCATGTTGGAAGTGGGCATTTCCCAGACTTTGAGACTTGGTTTCTTCACATGAAAATGAGAATAACAGTGCCTGCCTCCTAGAGATAGTCTCCAGATTAAATGAGATAAATACGTGAAGCACTCCCACTTCACAACTATTTTGGTAAGCAAAATTTGTAAGATTCCATGTGTTAAAATTCTCTTCCTGTCTACAGTATTCAGAATGGATTCTGTTTCTTGAACCCAATTCTTATGGATATGGTACAAAGCACTTATACCAGCTCTTGTGTTTCCAGATCACTCCGTTACTTTCCATACTCCATAAATGCAATCTAGTCTCCTAGCAATTGGACTAGGCAGCCAAGTGTCTGCTTGCCCTTTGAAATTATTTCCCTGCCTCACTCTCCTTTAAGGTCCTTTCCATTTTAAACTTTGTCTGCAGGAAGTAAATGTGGTCAGTAGGATAACCTAATTGCCTAGACAGATGGAAGCATGCTTATAGACCACAACTGCACTGCAATAAATGTACTGTATAGAACCCAAACTTTTCTAAGTCCACCATAGTGAACTACATAGATTTTCTTAGATAAAAATCATGTCAGCATAAATCAGTTCAGGCAGATTGCTTTTTTTATTTCTACATGAAATGAGACCAAGTTAGGCATTTGGTTGAATTGTAGGGGAGGTGGCAATCCGAGGCCTGGTATGTAGCAACCTGGAAGTCACGCAGGCCAGCAGCGTAGGCAGAATGGGCCTGGGGTTGTCTGGTCATTGGAGGATCATAATCTCTACGTGACTCTTTCCTTGCTCCTTAGACCCTGACCTGAGGCGATGAGTTAATTGAGTCTGGGGATGACATGTGTCACCATGAATCACATTGATTCTGTGGAAGAGCATGATCTGAGTCCCAAGCAACAGGAATATAAATGAATTGTCAAATCCCTGGTCATTTATAATTGGGTATGGAAATTACAGCTTCCTGATAATATGAAATAGCCAAGACCTTTTCATTTGTGAAGTCAGAGTAAAGGATACATTACTGTATCCAAAGACCTCAAAAATAGTTCAAAGGAGATGGAGGTTTGTTCCTCTGTCACTAACAATGCTGAGGTCCACGGTGGTGAAGGCTTTTTCTACATGCAGTCACTGATGAACCCAGGTTCCCTCCATCCTATTGCCATCACCAAGGGCATTGTCCTTGTCTGCATAGTTAGTGCTAGGCCACAGGCACGTTCATATTCAGCTCAAGGGAAGAAGGAAGAGAGCTGCTCCGGGACAAGGAGCTTCTTTACATTGAAGATGACTCAGAAGTTGCATTTAGCACTTCCATGCAACCCTCACTGGCCTGAACTTAGTCACACGGTCACACTTAGCTACAAGGGACACTGGTAATGCAGCCTCCAACTGGGCAGCCCTACGCCCAGCTACAACTTCATTAATGTTGAAGAAGGGGAATGTTTTCCTAGACAACTATCAGTCTCTGCCATGCTCTTCATCCTGCTTCACGTTCTCCTTCTTGTTCTAGCTGTGAGCCTCTGCCATTCACTAATTTGGGCCTTACCTGGGGGAAGCCTCCTCAGTGCCATCAGACCTCCTGGTGAGGTGCAATTAGCCATTCAAGCTTCTTAACACTGAAAGAAAAGCTGGGCCCCACAGGTGGCACTCCAAGATGGCATCACTTGTACCAGTGAAGGAGAAGAAACTCCTGGATGTCAAACTCGGGGAGCTGCCAAGCTGGATACTGATGCGAGATTTCACCCCTAGTGGCATTGCTGGAGCATTTCAAAGAGGTTACTACTGGTACTACAATTAGTACATCGATGTGAAGAAAGGGTGTCTCAGGTTTCCATGGTACTGGCAGCTTACCTGCTCTTCAGCTACTGCCTTTCCTGCAAGGAGCTCAAGCATAAGCAGCTATGCAAGTACCACTGCAGACGGCATGCTCTGCCACCCTGACCACGACCTCCTTTGCCCGCACCTGTCCTTGAGGAATGTGATCCTTGCTGAATCCTTTTATATCCTAATGGGAATTAACCTCCACATAAAAGATGACTGGTTAAAAAATAAAAGAAAAGCTGGGGCCCAAAGAGGGATCCCTGGGAGCTCGGACCAGGGCCAGAGTTCTTCTCCGAGCACAAATCTGGCTGTTTTCTAAAAAGACAGTTTTGATGTGTGGGGCCTTTTTCCGCAATATTGTGAGAGACGCTGGCTTGGCTGTGACTGGAGGTGACTCACACCTGCTCTTTGTGGAGAATATAACACTGTTTCTGCAAAAGGAATGCTCATGCCAGGTCACTGGTACCCGCAGACAAGTCTGTTCCTCTTTAAGAGATTCTTAAAGGATTAAAAAGCAGGCAGTGCAAAGGCTTTGGATGTGCTGAGTTGCACGTAGCTGAACTGGAGGCTTTAATAATGTGGAGACAGTGCAAGACCAGAAACTGGAAAATGTTACAGCGGTCTCAGCTCCCCATTTGTCAGCTGTGTGTCCTTGGGCAAGTCACTTCCCAACCAAGGGCTTCTGTTTTCTCAACTAAAAAATGTTGACTAAATTGGGTTTATTATTAATCTTTGTGCTCCTACAGATTATTTATAAAACTCTCATTCTGTTCCAGTTTCCTACTTGTCCACTGTGACATAAAAAAAAAAAAAAAAACACACAAATCCTCTGGTCTTTGCCCCTGGCGCACAGCTCCTAAACCCTTGGAATCTTTGGGGTGATGAGAGTTTCTTTTGTATGCTAATGAAAGACTGCTGGTGGGGGCCCCTAGGTAGCTTCAGGATGGGTGCTGGTTGCCGGAAAGACCAAGGCAGGATCGGAGGTTTGGAAATTCCAGCCTCCCTCTCTACCCTCAGACCTCCAGGGAGAGAAAAGGAGCTAGAGATTGAGCAAATCACCAACAACCATGATTTAATCAATTATGCCTAAGTAACGAGGCATCCATAAAAACCCTGAAGTGATGGGGCCTGGAGCTGGTGTTGGAGACCACACAGAGGCGCTGGAAGGGTGGTACACTCCAACAGGGCAAGGAAGCTCCCCACCCCTTCCCCATACCTCACCCTATGCTCTACCTCTCTCCCATGTGGCTGTTCTTGAGTCGTATCCTGTATAAAAAACCAGTATTAGTAAAGCACCTTTCTGATATTATGAGTCATTATAGCAAATTATCAAACCTGAAAAGGGGGTCACAGGAACCCCCAGTTTACAGGCGACTGGTCAGAAGTGCAGGTGGAAACCTTGGACCTGTAACTAGCATCTGAAGTGGAGTGAGGAGAGCGCAATCATCTGGTGACCACTGAAGAGGCCCCAGAGAAAAAACTCCTCATCTGAGGAATTGAGAAGGAAACGAAGACCGCCTGGTGACTATCTAGCAGGCCCTCTGGAGGCAAAACTCCTTATCTGGGGAAATGAGAAGTAACTAGACTTCCCTATTATCTAAAGCAGGCACTGGTACCAGGTCTTTCCCCGCCCCCCAAAATTTATAAGAAATTAGAATTCCTATACATCTCCGGAATGCTATGCCAAAATTCATTGCGCAACCGTGCTGACATCAGGACGTCCACATTTGTGGACGAAAATGTCTACAAATGTAACCATTTATCATGACCTATGTGGCTAACATGGTCCACATTACCCTTAAGCTTCTGCTTTAAGGTCCATAAATGCTCCTAAGGAAAAAACCCACTGCGGCACACTCAGTCCTCTCACTGAGGCACCAAGTTGCACTCATCTTTTATAAATTTTAATTTTTTTCTCTTTATTTTTGAGATAGAGTCTCGCTCTGTGGCCCAGGCTGGAGTGCAGTGGCACGATCTCAGCTGACTGCAATCTCTGCCTCCTGGGTTCAAGCAATTCTCATGCCTCAGCCTCCCAAGTAGCTGGGATTACAGGGGCCCACCACCACACCCGGCTAATTTTTGTATTTTTAGTAGAGTTGGGGTTTCGTCATGTTGGCCAGGCTGGCCTTGAACTCCTGACCTCAAGTGATCCATCCACCCTGGCCTCCCAAAGTGCTGGGATTACAGGTGTGAGCCACCACGCCCGGCCTCTATTGCAGTCTTCTGCAGAGTTTTTTCTAACAAACTTTCTTTTTCAAACCTATACTATTGTAATTCTTACCAACCCGCAAGTCCACCACTTCTCAACGCTGGGCTCTGACGCCTCGCCCAGCATAGGGGACAGTCTTGTAGGACTGAGCCCTTAACCTGTGGGGTCTGTGCCAACTCTAAGTACTTAATGTTTGGATTGAATTGAATTGCAGGACACCCAGCTGATGTCTAAAGAGTTGTTAAATTGATTGGTGTGAAAAATTAGGGGAAATCCCACAAATTTGGTGTCAGACATGTTGTGAGTAAAAACGGTTCATGTCCATGGCCTCTTCTCTTTTTGGAACAGTACAGCAGTAACTATAGGAAATAGACAGTTTTCCCCTTCTTCTCTCACTCTTTCTCCCATGTCCATTACCAGATGTGGAAAATCCTAGGACTCCCAAGTGACTTCCCCTTTGTACTTTCTGGGGACCAGGATCCTGGGCTAGTACTTTGGGCCAGGCTCAGACAGGTGTCTAAGGGATTTTAACACAGCATTGACAAATGGTTCCCACAATCCAAGTCTATGGAGAGACTGAAGTAGACATCAGGCACGGAGAGAAATGAAAAATGTGTACAACTGATCATTAGGGAAATGCAAATCAAAACCATAATGAGATTCCATCTCACACCAGTGAAATTGGCTATTACTAAAAATTCAAAAAACAACAGATGCTGGTGAGGTTGTGGAGAAAAAAGAACACCTATACACTGTTAGTGGGAGTGTAAATTAGTTCAACCATTGTGAAAAGTAGTATGGCAATTCCTCAAAGAGCTAAAAACAGAAGTACCATTCGGCCTAACAATCCCATTACTGGGTATACACCTAGAGAAATATAAATCGTTCTACCATAAAGACACATGCACGTGAATGTTCATTGCAGCACTAGTCACAATAGCAAATGCCCATCAATGACAGACTGGACAAAGAAAACGTGGTACATATACACCATGGAATACTACGCAGCCATAAAAAAGAATGAGATCATGCCTTTTGCAGGCACATGGATGGAGCTGGAGGCCATCATCCTTAGCAAACTACCACAGGAACAGAAAAACAAATACCACATGTTCTCACTTATAAGTGGGAGCTAAATGAGAAGGACTCATGGACATAAAGAAGGGTACAACAGACACTGGGGTCTACTTGAGGGTGGGAGGAGGGAGAGGAGCAGAAAAAATAACTATTGGGTACTGGGCTTAGTACCTGGGTGACAAAATAATCTGTACAACAAATTACTGTGACACATTTACCTATATAAAAAGCACTTGTACCCCCGAACCTAAAATAAAGAAAAATGTGTGCAATCGTTGGAGCAATATTTCTTAAGATTCTATGGATACATCCAAAGCATGAGTGGAGGCATCCTGAGGCATAGAGTCTTGTTTCCAGGGGTGAAAATGACCAAAGTCATAGATGTCCACAAAAGTCATTCCAGGATGATAAAAGAAAAAATGCAAATAGCAGCCACCTTTTGCAGGTTCTTACACTACTTTACCAAAATCTCTAGTTTTTAAGATTTTTGAAAAAACTTCCGGCAGGCACGGTGGCTCATGCCTGTAATCCCAACACTTTGGGAGGCTGAGGTGGGTGGATTGTCTGAGGTCAGGAGTTCAAAACCAGCCCGGCCAACGTGATGAAACCCCATCGCTACTAAAAATGCCAAAATTAGCCAGGCATGGTAGCAGGCACCTGTAAGCCCAGCTACCTGGGAGGCTGAGGCAGGAGAATCGCTCGAACCCAGAAGGTAGAGGTTGCAGTGAGCCAAGATCACGCCATCGCACTCCAGCCTGGGCAACAAGAGCAATACCTAGTTTCAAAAACAAAACAAAACAAAACAAAAAAAAACAAAAAAATTCATACTTGGAGAGAAAAACAAAAGTAATAAAAAGGTAGAAAGCAAAAAGTGACTTCTTCCTTCACCCCAGTTCCCTGGTTTATCAGTCCTCTCCGAGGTCTGCCTTCCAGGTCAGCCCACACCCATCCAAGCATATATGCAGGTCTGTAACTTTGTGGAATTTCATGGTTGCCCTGGGTTTTATGGGATTGCCTTACTGAGTATAAGTTAAATCGAAGAAAATCCGAGTTGCAAGTAGAACACTGGCCAGGTGGTGACCTCAGCATTCTTTTTCATCTCTCATTCAGGCTTTTGGAAATTTCATAATACATGTCCTTGGCTTTCCTCACCTCCAATCTGAAGCCTCCCAGACCTCTACACCTGACTGTGGCCTTTTGTTTAGAGCCTGTATTTAATTCCAGCCACATCTCTTCACGTAGACTAGGCACTCAGGTACAAATAGAATTGATCACTTTCTTTGAAACCTACTTCTCTTTGCCTCTTCCCAGACTCCAGCTTTTCCCACTCAACCCCACTGGGAATGTCATTCTTTTTCTCCTCCTTCTGCCTCATGGCTCTGCTCCTCCAGTTAGTCCAGTCCAGTAATAACTTCAATCTCTGGAATTTTTTTCTTTTTTGAGACAGGGTCTGTGTTGCCCAGGCTGGAGTGCAGTGGTGCAACCTCGGGTCGCTGCAACCTCCACCTTCCGGGTTCAAGCTATCTCATGCCTCAGCCTTCCGAGGAGCTAGGATAACAGGCATGCATCACCATGCCTGGCTAATTTTTTTGTATTTTTAGTAGAGAGAGGGTTCTGCTATGTTGGCCAGGTTGGTCTTCAACTCTTGGCCTCAAGTGATCCACCCGCCTCAGCCTCCCTAAGTGCTGGGATTACAGGTGTGAGCCACCGTGCCCAGCCCCTCTTTCTCACCTTTTTCCACTGATCTCATTAGTTTTATCATCACCACTCACTCACTCTACCAGGTATTCCCCTAAGTGCCTTATGAATGTAAACTCATTTTATCCTCACAACAACCTGACAAGGTTGGTACTATTATTATACCCATTTTACAGATGAGAAAACTGAGACCAAAATAATAAGATCTCCATTCCCTAACTTCCCAGACTCCATTGTGCCTCCTGTACCTAGATCTCCTTCTGTGG